AAAAAAAAAAAAAAAAAAAAAGAGTGAATCTTTGTGAAATCTGCCATCTGTATACTGGATTGGTTTAAAAATGAGATTGTGGCACAGAACCAGGGACTTGGGCTGGAAGGGTCCCAGAGACCGCCCCCCGCCGCCAAACCCTTACAACCTAGCATGGCTCCTGCCATGTCCAGGCAGGAGACCAGGGCCTGGGCAGCTGGTAGGTCCGCAGTCCCACTGCCCAATGCCAAGCCTGGAACCAGAAAAATGAAGCTGTCAGGGAAATGGCGAGAGGCCTGGAAGGGGTCAGGGGGGCACCTGTGCCAGCCTGGCTGCCAGGCTGGACACAGAGGGTAGGAGGGCTGCCGAGCTGGCAGGCTGTGGGACTCCTGAGAGGAAAAGACAAGTGCTTTCCCCAGATTTGTTGTCAAGAGGTGATGCTCACGGCCGTGGGTCCCAGCATCTGCAAAGCTAGGCCCTCTGTCGGAAGTGCCCCAGGGATGCCAGAGGGTGGGGGGCAGAGCCATGGAGGAGAATAGGGGTTTTCACACTTTTTAAAAAATGTTTTGGGGGCTTCCCTGGTGGCGCAGTGGTTGAGAGTCCGCCTGCCGATGCAGGGGACGCGGGTTCGTGCCCCGGTCCGGGAGGATCCCACGTGCCGCGGAGCGGCTGGGCCCGTGAGCCATGGCTGCTGGGCCTGCGCATCCGGAGCCTGTGCTCCGCAACAGGGGAGGCCACAGCAGTGAGAGGCCCGCGTACCGCAAAAAAAAAAAAAAAAAAAAAAAAAAAAAGTTTTGGTTTGTTTGTTTGTTTAGTCTTTTGGCCACACCATGCGGGTGCCTGATCTTAGTTCCCGGACCAGGGATTGAACCCGTGACCAGGGATTGAACCCGTGCCCCCGGCAGTGGAAGCGCGGAGTCTTAATCACTGGATCGCCAGGGGCGTCCTCACACTTTAGCAGTAGATCAAGTGAAGATAGAAACAGCTGCTCTGCTTAGAGTGCCCCTCACCCTTGCCTCCAGCACCGAGAGCACGTTTAAAGACCCCTCAAGAAGGGTGTGGAAGTGCGGGGCGCCTGGTGCTCAGGCTGCCATCGGGAATATGGGCCATAATGCCCAGGGCCCAGCCCCCCAGAAGCCAGATCCCCCTGGAGCAAGTGGCTTCTGTAGTCTGCCTCCTGCCAGCTGTCATTTCTGTGTCCGTGTTCCCTTTCTGTGTGATGGAGGAGTGGAAGGGATACAAGAGCCAAAAAAGCAACCATAAAACTATTCAATGTAACTGATTTCCTCTTGTCTCCTTAGCCCCCCAGGCTGGCCCGAAGCCAGCCTCCCCCACTCTTCTCTCCCTTCTCCACTACCCAAGAGACGGTGTGAATGTGGTGAAAATGTGGGCTCCGAAGCTACATACCCTGGGTTCAAGTCCTGACTCCACTGGCTGTGTGACCTTAGACAAGTTACTTAACCACTCTGAGCCTCACTTTCCTCATCTGTAAAGTACAGACAATCGTAGCCCCCACCTTCTGGGATGAGGATTCCCCCAGTGCAGCCCCAGGCACATGAGGACCATGTTATCAATGATCAGACTTTTTCAGCTCCCTCTTTCCTCCTCTCTCGGGCCACTTTCTCTGCTGTGTAACCCATCTTTACCCTGTCTGTCATCTTGAAAATCTCTGATCGGACTCTCTCCAGCCAAGAAGATCTCCAGTGATCCTCCATCACGCTACTTAATAATTGAACCAGTATTTATTGAGCGGCTAGGACTGGCGACCAGGCAGCCAGCCCGACGGGCCAAAATTGCTGTCCTTGTAGTGCTGGCGGTGTGGAGGCAACAAAGTGAAGCGCACGGACTGTCCACCAGTGGGAAGCCTGCAGGAGAGAAGGGCGGCGGGGTGGAGGAGGTGACCGGGAGCGCAGAGGAATGAAACCTTAGAAGGGTGAGACGAGGACTTGTGAGTGAAGGTCTGCAGGAAGGGAGGCGGCCGGTTATCTCAGCGTCTGAGGAAAAGCATTTCAGGCTGGGGGATTAGCAGAAGCCCAGGCTCAGCGGTGGAGCACGTCCCAAGAAGCACGTCAGAAGGCGGGAGGCCGGTGGGCGCGGTGGACAGAGCCAGGATGGGAGAGCAGGACCGGAGGCCCCTGAGGTCACCAGCCTCGGCAGGAGATGGGCAGCCGCTGCGGGGTTTTGAGGAGGTACGTGTGACTCCTCTTTGACCTGGGTCCACTGTGGCCACTCACGGAGAGCAGACTGGGGTCAAGGGCGGAAGCAGGGAGACCAGCTCTGAGGCCTTGTCACCCCGCTAAGAGGCCCTGGGGGCTGGGGCTGGGGCCTGAGGTGGCCTGGAGAGGGTGGCCGTGTTGAAGCTACGGATTTAATATCTGCAGGTGGAGCCCGCAGAAGTGTTTGCCTGAGTGGGGGAATAACAGAAAGATCACGGGTGACCCCAGGGTGTTTGGCCTAATGTATTCTTTTCCTGGGGCTGCCGTAACAGATCAGGGTGGCTTTAGAACAACAGAAGCTTGTTCTCTCAGTTCTGAGGTCAGAAGTCTAAAATTAAGGTGTGGGCAGGCCGTGCTCCCGCTGAAGCCTCCAGGGTAGGATCCTTCCTTGCTTCTCACAGCTTCTGGCACGTCTAGCAGCTCCTCAGTATTCCTTGGCTTGTAGATGCATCAGTCTTGTTGCTGCCTCCATTGTCACATGGCCTTCTCCCTGTGTGTCCCATCTCTCTGTCTCTTCTCCTCTTCTTTTTTTTTCTTTTTTTTCTGCGGTACGCAGGCCTCTCACCGTTGTGGTCTCTCCCGTTGCGGAGCACAGGCTCCGGACGCGCGGGCTCAGCGGCCACGGCTCACGGGCCCAGCTGCTCCGCGGCATGTGTGATCCTCCCAGACCGGGGCACGAACCCGTGTCCCCTGCATCGGCAGGCGGACTCTCAACTGCTGCGCCACCAGGGAAGCCCTCCTCTTCTTTTAAGGACAGTAGTCATACGATTACTCCATGCTCTATGCCGTATGATTGCAGACCCCAGTATGACCTCAACATAACGAATGACATCTGCAATGCCTGTCTTTCCAATAAGGTCACGTTCTGTGGTGCTGGGGGTTAGGACTGAACCTGTCTTTTTGAGGGACACAATTCAACCCATAACATCACCACCCCCAGAAGGCGTTGCTAGTAATTGAGATGGACGGTGCCGCGTGGAAAAGTTCAGGAGCTCATGCAGACGTTTTATTTTTTTTTATAAATGTATTTATTTTTGTCTGGGTTGGGTTTTCGTTGCTGTGCACGGGCTTTCTGTAGTTCTACGCGAGCGGGGGCTACTCCTTGTTGCGGTGTGCGAGCTTCTCATCGCGGTGGTTTCTCTTGTTGCGGAGCATGGGCTCTAGGCGTGTGGGCTTCAGTAGTTGTGGCTCGCGGGCTCAGTAGTTGTGGCTCGTGGGCTCTAGAGCTCAGGCTCAGTAGTCGTGGCGCATGGGCTTAGTTGCTCCGAGGCACGTGGGATCCTCCTGGACCGGGGCTCCATTGGCAGGTGGATTCTTAACCACTGCGCCACTAGGGAAGTCCCTGCGCAGACGTTTTAAGTTTGAGATGCTTGGTCCCGACTGGAGAGTTCACTGTGGGAGCCCTCCCCATGAGAGTGACTGAGTCACTGGAGGGTGGATGTGGATAAAATGAGAAGGGGTCCACGGATGGTGAGAGAGCAGGAAGCAGGCAAGGGGACTGAGAGGGGAGGGAACCAGCAGAGCACGGGTCCTGGGGGCAGAGGAAGAAATGGTTCCCAAGAGACCACCTGTGTCAAATGCTGGGTCCTGGGAGAACAGACGAGAGGACTCAGAAACGTGGACATCATTGGGGACCTGAGAAGAGTGAGTTGGGGAGGAGGCCAAAGCTTGATGGGAGAGGGTCTGAGGGAAAATGGAAGAATTAGAAAATCTCCAGTTGCAGCCATCGTAGTAATAATTGATTTAGGCAAAAGCCATCAACAAGGGCTAAAGCCCTGAAGTGTGCGATTGCTGGGGAGCAGGGTATCTCAAAGTGTCACCCCAAGGTGACTTCCTCATTACAAAGAGAGAATGTGACTTTACAAAGTACAGCGAGATCCCCAGGTGATCTGACACCAGGGCACGCTGAGGAGGACACAGTCCACCCTCTGGCATCCTGGCCCAGATGCTCAGCCTGAAACTATCCCAGACCTCCAGACAAGTCCACGTGGAGGAGCTTTCTGCCAGACTGCTGGCCTGGCTGCTTCAAATATATCAGTGTCATGAAAGACGGGGGAAAAAACTAGGGCGTTTATTCTTTTTCTTTCTTTTTTTTTTTTAAATATTTATTTATTTATTTATTTTTGGCTCATCGGGTCTCAGTTGTGGCATGCCGGCTTAGTTGCCCCGCGGCATGTGGGATCTTAGTTCCCTGACCAGGGATCGAACCCACATCCCCTGCATTGGAAGGCTGATTCTCAACCACTAGACCACCAGGGAAGTCCTGGGCATTCATTCTTTTTTTTTTTTTTTTAATGTTTATTTATTTTGCACCAGGGCTTAGTTGTGGCAGGTGGACTCTTTAGTTGCGGCTTGCCAGCTCCTTAGTTGCAGCACGTGGGCTCCTTAGTTGTGGTGGGCAGGCTCCTTAGTTGCGGCATATGGGCTCCTTAGTTGTGGTATGTGAACTCTTAGGTGAGGCATGCATGTGGGATCTAGTTCCCTGACCAGGGATCAAACCCGGGCCCCCTGCATTGGGAGCGTGGAGTCTTATCCACTGCGCCACCGGGGAAGTCCCGGGGCATTCATTCTTAAAGGGATAAACAGACAAAACCAAATGTACATGTGAACCTTGATTGGATCCCATGTGGGAAAAAAAATCTGTAAAGGACATTATTTAGACAGTTGGGAAAATGCCAAGGTAGACTCTAGGTGGACTAGGTAACATTGCTTAGTTTCCCAAGTGTGACAGTTGTGTTGGGGTTTTGCATGAGCAGGTCTGTGTTCTCAGGTGCCGTCATGATTTCCTCCCCAGGGGAAGGGGCTTCATGAGCCAGTGTGGCAAATGTGAACAACTGGGGAAGCCAGAAGGGTGTATGGATGTCATTGTACTATTCTTATAACTTTCTGTAGGTTTGAAATATTTTGAAACAAAAAGTCAGGGAGAAAGAAAATAGAGGGTAATGGGAGGAAAGAACAGGAAGGGGTGAGTTTAGCTGTAAAGGGAAGGAGAGAAACAGGTTGGTTTGCCCGTGGGAATGATCCGGTGAGAGGGGTGAATGCTGAGCGGGGTCCTGGTTCTTAGGCTGGAGAGGGGGGTCTCGGTGGAAGGCTGGCCTGGGATTGGAGCAGGGCAAAGCCCCTGCAGCCCAGGGCAGGGGGGTGGACGTGGTGGTAGGAGCTCATGGACCGCCTTCTGATGGCTTCTGTTTCCCTAGAAAAGTAGGCAGTTGGGTTGGTGGGGAATGAGTTAGGGAGGGTTGGGGGATGGAGAAGATAGGACAGGTCATCCATGGTGGTGGGGATGACAGTAGCCTGGGGCGATTGGGTAAGTCTGGGATCCTGTCACTAAGCAACGGGCCTTGGGTACCACATAGGCACCCAGAGGCCAACACCATTCCCTGACTCCTCCACAGTCCCCTTCGCACCCTAACTTAGAAATCCAGGCGGGGTCAGCTGTTCGGGGGCCACACAGGTCATAGAATCGAGGGCAGAGGCCCTGGGCAGGGAGGAGGGGGAGGTATTCTGTTTCAGACACTGAGTTGGGCAAACCAGCTGTCAGCCCCAGTTCCACTTTTTGGTGCCCTTTCTGCCTGCGCTCCGGAAGAGGCCCTGGTAACACCTACCTCATGGTTACCTACTCGAAATCTCCCCTTTGGCATTGCGTTCCTTGCGGGCAGGGCTTTGCTTTCTCTGCATCTCCCAGAATGGACACCTAGTAGGTGCTCGGGCAGCGTTTGACGGGCACTCTGTGGGGCGTGGATGGTCAGATCTGAACAGTCGCCCCCATAGGGGCCAGGAGCCCCGTGTACTGCAGTGGTCTGGGTCCACCCCACCCCCCCCATCCTTCCCCTCACAGATATGCCACCACGCCGACTGCCAGCAGCTGCACCGCCGGGGCCCCCTCAGCCTCTGCGAGGCCTGTGACAGCAAGTTCCACGGTGCCATGCATTATGATGGGCACGTCCGCTTCGACCTGCCCCCCCAAGGTGAGCACGGGGAGGGCGCCCAGCCCCTAGAGCTCCCTGCCTCGGGACACAGTGTCCTGCTAATTGTCGGCATCACGGCAGGGCCATCAGAAGGACACGAGTTGACTGTAAACGATGAAACCCAAGTCCACTGCCGTCCCTTTTGTTCCACAAGTTTTTTAACAAGAGAAAAAGTTGGGGACCGGCCCATCTCGAAGGCAGGTCTGTCTCCACCAGGTGCCGGTCCTTCTCGATGGGTCTGCACCTCCCACAGCTGCCCCTGCCTCTGTCCCTGCCCTCTTGTCCTCAGGGCAGGGGATCTCTGGGCAGATTCTGCAGCCAGTGAGCAGAGGGTGGGGTGGGGATGAGCAGGTCGAAGGAACTTGCAGCAGGAAACAAGAAACCCCTCCTGCTGA